TATATATATATATACAAACAAACACTGCTTCTGCCACAGGATTGCCTTCCATCCACACTCCATCCTTACTTCTGACTTGCCAGCTTTGCAGAGCTGCACATCAATATAAACATGTCAAAGGTTTTTGCTACTGTAGGGTGCTTATTTGAATAAAGTCTAATGGTGCTCAATGCTAAGTCAGAATTTTGGTCCACTGTGTTACGTTAGGCAGCCCATTCAAATGAATAGGCAACCTTAATACACAAACACAAAGTAATGTGCATTGACTACACCACAATGGAACGCCCCGGTGTGAATAAATAAAGTTACTTCCAATAATAAAATATCAACAAACCAGTTCTAGTTTGAAAACAAACACAATTTCAATGAGAAATCAACATTGTCCTCATTTCCAGGTGTGGCTAATAATGGTGGGATAGGTACAAGACTGCTTTTCACTGAGCAGTTTGAACTTCAGGGTATATGTCAGCCGATAAATTGGTTACCCAAAATGGGACCTCCATGACAATTGTTCCTGTTCCCCTGAATGAAGGCCTTTGTCTGCTTAGTTATTAAACATTAATACTCAGTCAAAATGACAGTACATGCTCATGTCATGCTGCAGAATGATCTCAGGAGGTCGGTTTTTCTAACCGCTATCTTATGTCTACTTGGTAAAATCTAAATCCATTTTATGTGCGCGCAATAAGTAGAGAAGGGATTGTCATCTGACTACATAATCCTAGGTCTGATTTGACTAATTTATTCCTACTAGTATTCATTTATGTTAACTTGGGTTCATCTACAATATTTGCTGGATGTTGACACCTCTTGTCTGTCCTGTATTGTTCACTGTAGTCAGATTTATCAGAAGCAATTGTATACAGTAAATCCTTGTGGTTAACCAAGTTTAGTAACAATAGCCCATTTGATTGGATTGCAGCTTGGGCAAGTGTAAATTAAATAGATTGTATTACATGATGACCTGGAATCTCTGTGTGCATAATATTTGTCTTTTGTGCAACTTTTGGCATGCTGATGTCTTGCAAAGAAAGTTATTGACACATGCCATATGCGTAGAATACTAGTTGTAAGTGTTCATTTGTATACAATGTAAAAGGGTAATCGGAATATGAGCATGATTCACAGATTACCAACAAATCACCTATATCCTGGTATTTTGTAAACTAATGATACTACAGAGAAATATGAAGGAAAGGGAATGTATACTTATTTCAAAGATGAAAAAAAGACCTAAACAAATCCTGGTGCTGCGGGGGAGCCCGGCCATCCAGGCCTCAGTGTAGGGCCAACGTTTGCTGCAGAAATTCGAGAATCCACGAGTTTAACAGTAAAAAGCTCACACACTATACTTGTCATATTCCAGAGTATTTATTGAAGTACAAAACAGGGTCAGCCTTTTTCTGGGCTTTATGACTAAGCATGTTATAGGACCAAATGTGCCAAAGCATTCTGATGGTGACCCACTGTAAGTGATTGTTTT